CCACAGGGCCGCCGCCCAGCACAGCGCGGCCAGGACCAAGGGGGCGGCCGCCAGCGACCACGCGCCCCCGGACGCCGAGCACAGACCCAGCAGAACTGCCACCGGGCCCATCAGACCTGCCAAGTCCCTGAGTGGACACAGGTTGAAACATCGACGGATGTATTTGTCTTTTTGCTGTACACCCCAACCTGTGATCCCAAAACACTTGATACCATTCCAAACTCATCCCCCATCAAAATAAATGTGAAAATTGGACCACGCAGGTCATTAGTGTACCATGCTGAGGGTGTGGCGAAGACGGCGGGTCGGGGCAGTGCGGCGGCGCTGGTGCGGTCGGGCGACGAGCGGAGTGTCAGCAGGCCGGGCTCCAGCAGCTCAATCAGCTCCACGTCCTCTTGCAGCAGCACGTCCTGATCCAGGATGCAGCGCACAGAGTACTCACCCAGCATGCTGTCCTGCGAGCGAGCGTGGGGAGGACGTTGGTAAAGGCAGACTGGCAAGGGAGGCCTGCCGATTTTTTTGCAAGTTGGACTCACCAGCTGCTGCTCCAGTGTGTGAGAGGACGCCGCCTTCTGAAGTGGGTTCCATTTCCACACAAGTTCAGCCAAGGTCTGCATGACTCCCTCCTACACACATTCAAAAAAGAAATCATTTTTCTTTTTTCAGAAAAGTAAAAAAAAAAATCTGTTTTTCAAGATGCACCGACACTTTAGGTCTTGTATTTTTTTCAAGACCTAAAGTCATAACACTACAAGTTTAAAGTCAAAATACTATGAGAATGACATTTTTACATTTTTTGTATTAAAAAGCTCTAGTAGTACTTCTAAGGGAAAAATAACTTGGTTATGATCTGAGAAAACTTTTTTTTCCAAATGAATTCCATTTGGCGACACGCTTGTCAGTCAGCGTCATCAGTCCCCTCTTGTGGGCCCGGGGACCGACCCATTTCCCCAGCGCGACGGGGGTGTTTTATTAGCTGTATCGATTACCGATTGGGTATGTGCAGGAAGTAAAAGCGCAAAGAATTCCTGCTCACTCGGCACAAACGTGGCCATTTGTTCCGCTTGCAAACACTAAGCAGGCTTTAACGTCGCCTGTCGTCGATACAGCCGTTGTTAAGGGATTACTGTAGTCCCAAAATCGTCGTCTTTGGCAAACAGGGGACGTAAGAGGGACGCAAGACATTTTAGCAAAAGCGAAAGTCGAGTGACATTCCCAACTCAATCCGGCTTTATCTGACATCCGGGAAGCGACATGCTGACCAAAGACTTCCTGTCCTGAGCAGCACAGAGGAAATGTCACACAAGTGGAAAGTTCCACAAATGCGAGCGCATCATTCCTCCCAACAGATGCAATAGCTTAGCGATAAGTAGTGCTTGCTGGATCAGCTCATAATATGTACCAGGGCAGCTCCACACTTTGTGCGTTATTTACTTCTTTTTGACGGGTACTGTGAAGAACGAGATGCCGGAAAAGAAAAAAGAGGGAAGGACGATAGGCGGGCAGGAAGGTATTTTAAAAAAAAAAAAAAAAAAAAAAAAGGAAGGGTGCAAAATAAAAAAAGCAGCTCTGAAAGAAAGAACAAAAGGAAGGCTGGAAGAAAAAAACAGATCGAAGGTGTGTAGGAAGGAAGGTAAAAAAGCAAGTTTAAGCAAAGGAAGGAAGGATGCATAAATTTGGTCTGAGGAAAGTAAGGAAGAAAAGATCGGGAAGGAAATTATGTTTAAAAGGGTGGAAGGGAAGGCAGAAAAGTGATGGAAACAAGGGATGGAAGACCAATGGGATGCAATGCAGGTCAGAGGGAGAAAGGAAGGAGTTTAGGAAGGAAAGAAGGTGAGAGTGAAATTAAAGCATGGAATAAAATTGTTCTCCCCAAGGTCTCAAATTCCCGTTTCAGATCAGGACTCATCTGAAGGACTCACCTGAGCTTTCCGGGGAACATCCCCAGATGCCAGGTCGCCGTCTTGGTCTCTCGCCGCCGTAGGACATGTCTCGAAGTCTGTGTGTCCTAAATCGTGCAGGTAGCGGAAAAGCGGCGAGTTCTGCAAAGCAAACGCTGAGGTGAGAGTGCTTCCCATCTTATGCTGACCTGTTGAGCCAACTTCTATGAAGGCTTTCTCCTATCAAAAAAACAAACAAACCCTAATCTACTCAGCCCGCGGACACGTCCGGATTGTGACCAAAGATTTGAAATTGGACGTCATAATCCTCCTGCTTTCCCATCCTTGAAAGATAACCTGACCCGCTTGTTGTTACCATGATTGTATTCTACTACCCCGGACATTTAACAGATGCATCATGGGAGCATCTGTGTAATTACCATCACATACGTGCTCTTAAGGTAATACTCACTTCCATAATCACACCGAGCTCATTTTGTCGCAATCCAAATTTGAGAATGTGTCTGCGCGTGTTTTTAATCAGAACCGACGCCTTGGTTGCGTCTGTCTGGTCCTCCCCGCCCCACCCACTGCAATCAATGATCGTCCCCAAACTTGCCCCCGTCTATCAGATGCACGGTTTTGTCATAAGCCAGCCAAGTCTCGCAATTTATTTCGCACTTTTAAAAAGCGACTAGCATCTATTTTTATGCATCCCAAGCGAAGCTATCAGCAAGTGTCTACTTGCATCAGCATGACAAAGCAGAGGTTAACAAGTGACACATATGCGATACGAACCTCGAACACGACATCTTCGTCAAACTCCTCCGTCATGGCGCTCGTCCATCGACGCGCGGCTCGCTCTGCATGCCGAGTTTCAGGGGCGACTGGACGGCAATAGTCGGGCCAAAGGGAGAGTTGGGAGTTTAGCCGGGTTGCTAAACAAAAGAACTACAATTCCCATTCAGGCGCACCCGATCGCGCTTCTTCCTCGCGAGAAACCACAAGGGGAGCACTGGCTTACATAGCGCCCCTTTGTGGCCACGTGATGCACAGGCCCAACCGTTAGAAAAGCCCGGCGAGAAAAAGTAAAACAATGAGGCAGAAATACAGAGAACATTACTTCACAATAATAAAAAATGATTTATAACAAACACGATAAGAATCGTAGCAAAGGCAATCGATTGAACTTGAATATCGTTTGCATCGTAGTTTTAAGGTGACATTTTATGCACGGCAATGCTCCAAAAACATCGCGCCGTTCGCAATCGGATGTAATGCTGTTATTCACAACAGGAAGTCACGTGTTCGCAGTGCTTCTGGCTTGACAAAACCGACGAACTTTGCCGAAGCCGAAAAACTGGGGAAAATGGAAAACGCAAAAGGCATAAAGTCGTTATCGGCGGATGTGCGAGCGAGATAAGGAGTAAGAGCGGCGGCCCGCGGTTTGTTTGAGCTCGCCGTAGTGGATTTCGAAGTGACAATGCTGTGGAGACAGGAAAAAACCAAGACCTTGTCGCGCTTCCATTGAAAGCGAATTTACATTCCTCATGGAGAAAGCAGGAGCAACGATTCGGGAGTCATGAGCACAGGTTTGTTTCTTGCGGGGGCGAACTGCAAAGTACCGACATCTCTATATACTTTTTAGTAAAATGCTCATTGTAAATACACCGTCGTGAAAAACAACTGTTAGAAGTAACCATCCACTGTTTTTTTTTTTACCATTTAATTACAGCCTTTTCCTGAAAAAAAAATCGCCTCCACATAAATAGTACAATAGGACACACCAGGCGTCGTTTTGGGAGGCCTCCATAACTGACAATAATAGTACGCTAAAAAGCGGCTTTCCGTTTTAAGCGGCCGACTCACAGCTGGGGATGGTCAAAAACTTCTTTGTCTTTAAAACATCTGTCCCGCTGCTGATGCTACACGTCCGAATAGTCAACAATGCGACGTTAACATCTTTTGTAAAGCTTCATATAAAGCTTTGTTGCAATAAATGTTAGTTTAGCCATCATATGGAGTGTGCCGTTCTGTGAAGGTCGTTTTGTGTTTGTTTTCTGGTAAGTTCGCATTACCTGACTGACGCTTCCTGCGAAACTCCGTTCAGAAATCAGCCAAACCTGGGACGTCTCGCTCGTCTGTTGTCGTATAAAGTACGCGCGGGACTTTGATGGGATCGTCGTCACAACTGGCTGATTTCGGCGAGTTTTAGTTCGCATTTAGGTCCAATCGAACACCAGGACCATGACATCTTTTCGATCCTGCTTTAATAAAGTTTCGATAGAGGTCGTTATTACTGCATTCTGTGATTTCGACCGCAGTTACATGTTAATACGGCTCATGGCTCGTACACCGCAAGACATTCAATTTCTCTGCAAAACGTGTTTATTATGTGTCAGAATCAGCCATATTGGGAGTTTGGTGTCTCGCCTCTGTGGCCATTGACCTTTTTTGTCACATCACTGCAGGACGCAGTGGTGTGACATTTTTTTTTTTCTGTGTGCGTTTGTACAACGAAACGATTTAGCTTCAGAAGCTTTCTGAGAGGAATTTTGCCACGGGTTCCTGTCGGAGTGAGTCAGCCACTACTTCCAGCTCTTCCATTCAAATTGTGATGCATGATGCATTTCACACATTACTCCCCCCTGAACCCAGGAGTGACCGTTGAACCTCGCCTGTAACTGCATCTCACAGCTGTCTCTGCTGATATTTGAGGAAGGAAGGATGTACAATGCCTTAACACGTGCGTGTTTTTAATTCTGTCCTGTCTTGTCTTGTGCACACGCAGGTGTGAAGAAGCCTCCATTAGCTCCCAAACCTAAACTTCCCGCCGTGGCCAAACCCTCACCCCCTCCGGCCATTGCCCCCAAACCCGGCCTGCCCCCCACCT